TCCTGTGGTTTTGCATTGACAGAGCATTAAGAGGAGGCTGACCTACCTTGACTGGCTTCCTTACTTCAGTGAAAAAGGCATCTGCACATAGAATGGTCATGTGCAGAAGCCCCTTCTATTAATCCCTCCCACAGTTCAGCTGCTTGGTCTGATGCTTTGCAGCACAAAACTCTGGTATCTCCACACCTTTTAAGGGGATGTTTTGACTGAAGCTTCACTGAAATAAAGCGGCCCCTTGAAACTTCACACTACAGTGCTGGGTATTGTAACATCTTTAGGGGGACATTTCTGTAACAACAGAGAGGAAAGAATGGGGGATTGTTACATCTATCTATCTATCTTTCTATCTATCTATCTATCTATCTATCTATCTATCTATCTATCTATCTATCTATCTATCTATCTATCTATCAAATCTGTACAGTGCAGCAAGCCTTGGCAGTTAACACATAATAGCAGGGTCAATAATAGTAACTAAAACATGCATGGTACAGAATAAGTTAAAACAAAAACAATAAGATACAAATAAGAAATCAGAACAGCATAACATCAATAACCTACAATAACATTGTCATCTCACACTCTATAGGTCCTCTGAAAAAGCTCTGTCTTTAGTAACGTCTGTAAAGACAACGTGGGGGCGAGTCTGATCGCCAGCGGGAGGCAGTTCTCTAAGATATGTATTGCCACCGAGAAACAGCACCTGCAGAGCTCAACTCCTCTAACCTGTTGCATGCACCTAGCACGCATGGATTAGACAGGTTGGCTCCAACTGGGAAAGGCAGTCCTGAAGGTGCCAAATATATACGGCTTTATGGTTAAGACCACATTTTGAATTGTACCCAGAAGCCAATAGGAAGCCAGTACAGGACCTGTGACATAGGTATGCGCTCATGGCGGCAAGTGTCAATTAAGAAATGGGCTGCAGCATTCTGGGCCAACTGTAGAATCCAAGTGGTCTTCAGAGGCAATGGTCTACACTCAGTGTAGAGTACATCACAAAATGAGTAGTGATGAAGGCATGAGATACTATCACAAGTTCTTCCATTTCAGGTAGGGCTACAATTCACATACTAGCTGAAGCTGGGTAAAGTCCCCTTGGCCACAGACTCTGCTGGCCCATCCAGTAGCATGAAAATCCTCAGTCTTGGACCTCCTCCAAGAGGCTCCCTAAGTTAAGGTCCTGCTCCTTCAGAGGTAGTGCCACCCTGCTGAGAGACAATACCTGAGCTGACAGAGCAACTATGCAAAGAGCAATTCTGTCTTGACTGACTTCAGCTTTAGCTTAGTTTATCACATCTGGACACTAGCAGCTTCTAAACACTGGGACATGACATTAACAGCATTATCAACATAGCATACAACTGATGGTAATGTATACTGTACTATAAATCAATAGATGGATACCTCCCTCATAAATGTTAAAAATGGGGAAAGAAAACAAACTCTGTGGCACCCGACAAAAGAATAATCTCCAGTCCAATTCTCTTCTTCCACAACCATTGACTGAAACCACTCAGTAAGGAAGGAGTATAACCATTGTAAAATAGTGCCTCCATTCCCCAACCTCACAGGTTGTTCAGAAAGAAACTATGGTCTATGTCAGGCCTGTACAACATGTGGCCCATTGAGCAGCTTTGTGTGGTCTACCAGCACTTTTTAAAAAGTCAAAATCACCACTGCCACCAGTGTCCTGAGAGATGTGCTGTCAAGTGCCTCCAACACCTCCAGACCTCACTACTACCATTAGCTCCATAACTGCTGCCATTCTGTTAGCCAATGAACAACTTACTGGTGTGCCAGGCTTCCTTTGTGGCTCTCAATCTTTTTTAATTTATCAGTGTGGCCTTTCCTCTCTACAAGTTGTGCAGGTCTGGTTTATACTATGAAAAGCCATCAAGAAATCTAAAGGACCAGGAGGACTACACTGTCCCTGTACAGGTCCAGAAAAAGATTATCCACAAAAATGACCAATGCTGTCTTTGTACCATGCCCAGATCTGAAGCTTGACTGAAAACTGAAAAGGGTCTAGATAATGTGATTCCCAAGCATCTATCAGATTCCATCCAGACCCATGATAGATAATCCTAACTGGCCTTTATCCTACATAAATTACAGGTGGAATTAATCTTATCTGGATGAGGAAGTGACTTTATATTCTGGAGTTGTTGCAGTTAGGGTGGGACCAGCTTTACTTCTGACAGCAGTTCCTTCTTTCCCTGCTGTTCTAAAGTTATTACTTTATATATGTATATAAAAATATTATCTATTTGTCTGTCTGTCTATCTATCATCCAGGAGTGAGACATTTCCTAATAATTACAGCCAGCTTTTTGTTGATTTTGATTTTGTTAATTGAAATTTTTAATCATAGAATAAGACTGCAAGTTCCTCAGTATTAAACTGCAGTATACACTTTTGTGTTAATACATCTCAACAGTAAAATAAATGGTTGACGGTCCAAACTCACTTTCTAGTATCCAAATGAAATACTTACTAAAAAGATCAAACAGTATGTGTCTTCACAGTGAAACAACTACTATGAATCTGTCCCATATCTCATGCATCTCTTTTAAGTTATTAGCATTATTTTTTTCAGTTTCTCGCAACATAATGATACAGATCTAAGATTGGCCACCCCCAGATTTTTTGTCTGCCCATATTTCCCCCTGAATGGGATGTGTATGTGCGCACCTTCAAGTCAGTTTTTGACTCCTGGTGACTGCCTGGACAAGTCCCTGCAGTTTTCTTGGCAAGATTTCTG